GCTGTTTACCTACTGGATTCTTTTCCCTAGTTTCAGTTATTTCTCTGAGCAGTTTAGGAAAAGACAGTTGCTCTGTATTAGAACTAGTATTTACAGCCAAATAAAAAAATACTTAAAATTCAGGGGGCAGCACCCAAAAGCCACCCTGCAATTCTTCAAAGTGGATTATTTTCCCCTTATTCCTTCATAGCTCCCCACTCCCAAAGACTACCTTGTGTCTCAGACATGCAACAATCCTTTCCACCCTAAAGCTCTTGGAAGAGCTCAGGAGCGTTTTCAATGACATACAGCTGAAAGACCACTGTAAATCCCAAACACCGAGCAGGGAAAGCCACAAACTTCATTCCTCCTTTCAACGGTCCTAACCTACTCAATGCTTCTTCAACAGCATCATCTTTCCACACCATCCTGTCCACACCACAGGTCAACTGCACACAATCCCCAGGTACTGGGAAGAGCGGGCTCCCCCTCCGTCCCAGCCCACAATTTCTACACGTCTGGTTCCTTACATATCTCTGTACATCAAAACATAAAACACAGCAACACTTACCATGCTTCATCATCACAGTTAAAAACCGGACGATGACTTTGGAGCACGGTCTGATAAGAACCTGGCGTTTGCCTCTCTTTTCAGCATTGTTGATACTCTTGAGAGCATCAGCCAGGACATTCATGCGCACCATTATGGCTGTTCAGGGAAGACAAGAGTTTTACCATCACAGCAAACATCAACAGGGACCCAAACATTCTACATTCTCTTTCTTCTGACTCTATCATGACTAAGTTTTCCTATCTCTAAGCAGGCTGGCATCCCAGTATCCCCAGCATAATATGTCAGCTAACAAAACATAAATATCATACGGTCGGTCAGTTCTTCAGACAGGGAGCTAAGAGTAACCGACAATGTTTTCCTAACTCTGAAATCCAGCAGCACCTGTACTATTAACATTAGTACTTTACTACTGTCCCTTAGATCAGCTAATTCAATGTCAACCTTGTCCCGTAACTGTTAAAAATAGGACGTCTTTGTGACACCTAAAATTGTGTCCAACAGCCAGCGTATCACAATGGCAAATAGAAACATTTTACATGCACAAGAATGGACCCTAGCCCAGTGGGCACGAACTGCAAGAGTTCTGAAAAAGTTGTCGAAGATAAGGACAGAGACCAAATGTGCTTCAAGTATCACCAGCAGGGACCCAACCTGCTTCCTCGCTCAGCAAAGTGCCTGAGGGGAACACCTAAAGCACTGAAAATCCAGGTTAGTTCCCACCCAACTGCCACCCCAGGCAGTATTCCCTGCTCCGCGTCCCCAGACGCCCAAGTTCCCAGCGCGCCCGCAGTAATGCACGGCCCACGATGGCCACCGTCCCCAACGCTTCCCGCCGTCCGGAGCCAAGGCGCTGCCTCACCCACTACGAGAAGATCCTGGCGCCGCCGACCGAGCCGGGGACTACCACCTTTCTGGGCGGTCGAAAGCTCCGGTTCCCGCCAGCGCTGTGGCCTGTGCCCTGTAAGCCAGCTCCCCATGGTACTGAGCGTGGGGCGACGAAGCATGACTCTCCCCTACGCCTGCCCAAGCCCCCTCATGGCCAGTATCCCCAGCCCAGACAAGCCCCGGCATCCTCGCAGAGCACAGAAGTCGAGTCTGAGACAGCAGGATGGCGCCGATAACTGACGGATGATGCTGGATGGCTCACAGAGAGGTACTCACCGGCACGGAAAGATGGCGGAAAGAGGACGGGAGGGGCAAGCCCACGGAGTTATGGGAAAAGGGAAGGCTATCGCGAGACTTTCAAAGTGCCTCTGGGAGGGAGGGAAAGACTGGTGGAAGAAGGCGGGTGTAGGGCGGAGCCTCTGCAGGGGTGGGCAATAGAGAGTTGATAGAATCGACCTTCCCAGGTGAAGCCGTGGGTAGAAGATAGAAGTAAGGCATTATGCGGAGGTTCCATTTGGTTTTAGCACTTTAATCTGTAAAAATGAAAAACTTGACAACAAGATAGTTGCTCACTTTTATTGCACTAACTGTTCACCATTTAGAGTAGATTTTGATATTGCGTATGTATAGGGTCCCTGGAACGACCTACAGAAATCGGTGATTGCTTCTGGGGAGGGCATTAGGAACTGGGACAGAAGACTTGCTTTTCTCCCTATACAATTTTCTTTTGTTGTTTGAAAGGTATATACATTAAATCTTCAAAGTAGTCAAAATATTGTTTGACTCTCCCTAAATCTTAGAAATTATTTACTAGGGCTCAAGATGTTTCTTTCGAGTTCTGGGAAACGGTCTGGAAGAAAGCCACAAATGTTTCAAAATAAATACTCAGGATTCTGATCCAGAGACTTCTCTGCTCTTCTGCAACCGGACAAGTACCAGTTTGTATGTCTTCCCCTCTCTGAACTTTCCCCACATGTAAATAAATCAGTCCCTGCCTCTTAAAAGTTATTTTGAGTCAGATGAGATAATGGTGACAATGGGCTCGCACAACATCTGTCACATAGTAGGTGTGCAGTGTATTTAGCAACCGAAGGAGCAGGGAGTTGTAACTACTGCTTGAAGTCCAGGCGTCTAATCAGCTGCAAGGGAGTAAATTCTACCTTCTTCTGGAGCTGCGTGACCTTGAAGCCGGTTGGTTACCCATAGCCTCCTTATTTCACTGCTTCCACCCTTACCTCATCTTCACCATCCTTGTCTTACGGCAGCTACAAAGACCTTTTCAAAACTGAAACAGTCAGATCATGCACTTTCCAAGGGGTCCTATCAAATACTAATTCCTTACCAAGTTTACAAGGTCCTCCCTGAAGTGCACACCTGACTCCTTGCACCACACACCAGACTTCATACCTCATCATTCTTCGTGGCGTGGTTTTCCTCAGATACTCCAAGCATACGCCACCTCAGGGCCTTTACATTCACTTATCCACCCAGTTAGCCAGGTGGTTTGCTCCCTGGCTTTCCTCAGCTCTCTACTCAGTCACACAAACATACATACAGCCTCCTAGCTGTCCCCTGTCCCCATGGCCTTGCTTAATTTTTCTCTATAGCATTTGCCACCTGAAAAATTGGAAGCATATTTATTTTCTGTCCACATTAAGTTCCAAGCAAGCAGGGACTTAAGATTTGTCCACCACTGCACTCATAGCTACCAGAAGATATCTGGCACATAGTAGGCCTTGGAGATAGATACATAGATGATAGATGATGATAGATAGATAGATAGATAGATAGATAGATAATAAGTAAATGGCAAATCAACTTCCCCATCTATAAAATGGGGATGATACTACCAATCACTTGAAGTTTCTGTGAGGATAAATGAAATGATTCATAAGAGGTTAATAGAAAATCTGGCAGAGTAAGTGCTCATCAACATTAACATTCGTTAGCATAAAAGCCACTGCTGACCACCTCCCACTTCTCAAATCCTCCGTGAAACCCAGGAAAGCAGATCACCCAATTTGGATATCTCAGGGATACAGAATTCTCAGATTAAATATACATTACAAAAGGACTATTTGCTTTTTAAATGAAAATTTCCTTAAAGAACTGATTCCCCTGCACTTATGTAAAAAAAAAAAAAGTGCTTTGTTTACTAAAAATGTGGAGTTCACCTTGAGGTCCTTGGCAACAACCATGGGGAGTTAAGTGAATAAACCCACTTCAAGAGACTTACCATAAATAGAAAAAGAGCACCATCCACTATCTATATATTTCATTCATGCAGCCATTCATTGAACAAACATCAAAATATCATGTGCCAGGTTTGAGGGGACAAAAACAAGTCCCTGCCCTTAAGAGGTACAGATCACAGTAGGGAGACAAAACTCTAAATAACACAAAACACAAGGCAATGTGCCATATAGAAATTCGGAGGTGGCCTGGGATGTTGCTAAAGCTCTGAGGAAGTGCAATTTGATCTGTGCTGTGAAGGGTACTACCAACCAGTTTGTAACAGCCAGTTTTCTTGTAGATTAATTTATTGAATCCTCAAAACAAATGATTCTACACTGCCCCTGTAAGATCTATACTTTTATCTCTATTTCACAAATGAGAAAAGAAGTTCAATCTTAAATTGACTCAACCTTAAAATTATTTTAAGTCAAAGGGAAAAACGTGGCTACTTACCTTGTCTAAACCACTAGATAAGTGGGTGGGGTTTAGAGCTAGGTCTACCTTATCCCAAAACGTTTGTGTACAAGCAATAGATACTATAGGCTTGCAACAGCTTCAAGAATTAGAAGGGCATGGAATAAAAATGAACAGAAATCACATAATGGCAGGGTTGGAATTAGGAAATAGGGTAGAGTAGAACTGGACAGAGGGCCACCAATAAAGTGCCTTGTTTACAAGTTTGAGATTTATGCTATAGGCATACTGGAGCCTGCTGAGAGGGCTTCAAATAGGATTGAGCATGGTCTGCTTATTAAAATAAATGGCAACCATGTAAACAGTGAACTGGCATTAAATCACCTCCTAAAAATGTTTCAGCACAACTCCAAATGTGACCTCCTCTCGACATTTAACTCTGGGATGACAGGACCTCCCCTGGAGGTGATGCCAGGGCAAGTGTTAACAAGGGACTTTTGCTGTGGCCAGAGCTGGCACAAGGGTAGGCAAGATGGCTTCAGAGTAAAGCTAACCGAGACTGGCCCAAGATGTAATCACAGGTGTGTGGTAGAAATCCAGCATTACAAAGCATCAGGAGGTCACCTATGGTGACTTTGGGTTGAGACTTCCCTTTTCTGGACATCTTACCAGAACAAATCCCCAGAAGGCCCCAAAGAAGAATCCATACATTTTTTTTTTTTGCAGGCATCAGTGGTCTCAGAATTTAATTTGATGGAATCTGTTCCCAGGACCCACTAAGTATATAGAAGGTGAGGCCCAATGATAAAACATACAATTTGAGTTCTAATGTAAAAAAAAAAAAAAAAATCCATCGGATCCATAAATCCACCCATGTAAATATTGTATTGGCTAAGGTAGAAAGGACACAAAAAGGGATTCCAGCTTTTATTTTTCCTCTTTTCACAAAACAAAGAAATATAACAACACAGGATTAAAAACACAAAAGTAGTTAAATTGGTAGACCATGTATATAAGAAAAAAAGATCCAGATAAGACAACAGGCTTATTTACAATGAGGAAACACATGTAAATTAAGGTAGCTTGTAGTTTTCATATGAAACATTTAAACAATCATCAAACATATGCTACATGAGTGCCACTGTTTACAGCAATGAAGGGGAGAAAACACTTATTTAGGGACAGATATACCATACCACAAAGTCCAGGTTTTATAGCATCAGTGCAATAAATTCACAAAACTATATTACAGCTAATTAATTAGAGTTTAAGACCTGTTCCCAAATATGTCACATTTTTGGCCCTTAGAGGTTCATTCCACAGACTTCAACTACTCTAAACTTGTAGCTACTGAGAGGAAGAATGACTCTAAGATGCTTTCCGAGAGTTACAAAATCTCTACAGACTCAAGGCCATCCATCATCTCCCAAAGTCTGCTCTCACCAACAGCCCTCCTATTCTTCAGAGGAATATTCAGGGAAAAAGTCAGATGCCAGCATAGTCACCACCTCCTAGGCCAGATCTATGGTGACCACAGCAGCCAACATTACCATAAAATGAGAACTGAAAAATTAGTAGGATAAGATTATGTTGTGCTGAATCCTGATGGAACACAGTAAGACTTTTGTCCTTGATTAGCTGGTCTTGGAGTAAAAGTCATAGGCACAAGTCTTCATCTCTTCTGTACTTTAGTTTTAAACAGCTGAAATCTTAAATTAAAAGTATGCTAAAAATCCTAAATGCAAGCTTTTAGAAGCTTGCTATTAAAAAACCTTTTAAGGACCTACTAACCTGAACGCTAAGTGAAAGGGGACAAGAGTTCTAAGCCTGTCATATTCCCCATTTCAGAGGAAGAATCAGTATTTTCTACAAATTGCTTAAGTTTTACACAATGGAGAAACCAACATATACTAGGGCATGTATTATTTTCATTTTATTCTATGAGGATTCTTCTCCCATGGCATACAAACAGAATGAGGAATGAATTTTCACTGGTTTCTTCATTGGAAGTGGTAAACTTGGTCTCTATGTTCAGGAAACCAGACAGCTTTCTAAGCAGACTGTGGAAGGAGGCAGTAGAACCAGTTTTTTGTAACCACAGACTGCTAACACCTGTATCTAGCAAGCAAAGATCAACTCGAACAATTTTCCAAAGTTACTGTTAACTGTACTAAAAAGTGAAATCCACCACTATTTTATTTTAAAGGAAGCTGCCTACAAGAATTCAATTAACCCTGGGTAAGAAAAATCAAAAGTTGTATTCATGAGTGAGTTGTCCATATAAGGCCAACTGATGACAATGCACCCAGATACACTTGATACGAAGATACTATGTATAAAAGCTTTGTGTGGCAAGTCTGATTTTCTAGTAACTAAGGGCAGAAGGAGTGAGAGCAAGGAGCTACTTCTGTAACACTTTAGTATCCAGATAATAGAAACTGTTCCCAAGGACAATCAATATACACACCATTAATCACACTAAATGAAGAAGGTGTTATTCATTTTTCTTTTCTTTTTGCTTAAGAAGCTTGTTCATCTCCCTTTTGGCCATTCCAATGTACTTCGAAATGACTCCATGTTGGTTTAGTCCAGGAAGCATCAGTAAGAAAGTCACTTAAAAATAAACAAACAAAATTAAGGAGGCAGCCATTCACTTCTTAAATGTTATTACCTGCTAGAGAAGGTGGTTTCCCAAACTATTAGGCATTCTAATGGGAGAAAGAACTATGAAATCCATTACTTCTATTGATATTTACCTCTAGAAACTTCAGCTACCACAGCTCCCAACCTCAGATGACACACACTGCTCACATTTTTTACCTCCTGCACATTTCTTTCTACCCTGGTTATTATGTTCTCTGGCTTAGCTTCCTGCAAGACCATAAGCTCCCTGCCAACAAGGACCTGAGTTTTATTAATCCTTTTAGACTCCCAGTTCCTTGTTCAGTGCCTTAAACTTGGTAAGCATGCACATATTTGTTTAACTAAGTTCCAGTTAGACTTCACTGCCCAGGATGTACCTGTGTCCTCAAAGACTTACCTATCAGGTAGGTCAGAAGAAGGTTGTGGACCTGCTGTCCCACCCAAGCAACCGCAGCAAGAGAAATGATCATGGTCATGAAGTACTAGTAATAAAAATAATAAGAATGTATCAACTCCTCAAAACAGGCTAAGAAGCATAACTTTAAAAGGCTGTTGCAAAGGCTGGCAAATGATTCCATTTTTATTACCACTTTTCTTTCAAAATACTTAGTATCTATATACTATATAAAACCCACAGAAATCTCCTTTAGACCTGCCTTATAGAATTTGGATACACACCCTCCTAGAACTACTGTAATTCTATATTTAAGTTAAAGTTTATAACAGAAATTATACTACTCTTACAATTAATAATGCCACATAGTAACTTCATGTCAAGCTGAATTAAAATACTTTCTATGTCTTTTACTTTATTCCTGTAAGAAAAAAAGAAGTATCTCACCCCACTAGAATATAAATTAAATGTAAAATATAATTTTAACTTCTAGTAACTCTGTCTAATGCAGTTATGCATTATGAATGTACTCAAGAGGAATTAAATGAATGGATATCAAAATATAACTTCACACAAAAAGGCTATCATTATATTACAATGAAGAAAAACTGACTGAATCAATCTTAAAATTTTGCTTTACTTGAGTAAGTCAAAACAAAAAAGTACCATTTTTGGCTTTTCTTCCTTTAGTGTGAAGAGGCGTTTCCACCAGCCCACAGCTCTGCGTCGAGTTTTTACTAGACTGCTGCAAATTTCATGGAACCTTTGCTGCTGCTCAGTGGTCCTAAAAACATAATTTCCCCCTTAACTATAAGCAAATCTCCATGGTAAACAGAAATACACCATCCTCTCATATTTAAAAAGCTATCTTCTAGAGAAAACCTAAATAAAAAATAATGATTCATCATTATCTTACAGAGGTGAAAATGTTCTTGTACCATTAAGACACCCTAGATGGCACAGGAATAAGTTCTGAGATGAACATATCTGTGAGTGTGCACATGTAAAAGTAATTGTACTCTATAGTGCTCGAGCCACATTTTGTTAATGACAGTAACAAAAGACTCATACTACTATGGGCTGCACAGAAATCAGCATAAATTAATTTCTCTACTGCTATATTATTTTTTAGATTCTAGTGAATCCTGGGTTGTAGCCCACCAGAGTCCCACTATTTTGAGGAAGACATGAAGTTTCTTCAAACAGCTCTATTTGAGCACTTTTCAGTAAGATAGTAACTATCAGCATTCATAGCATCAATACCCTCAACTGGGCTGCATACATTTGATGCCAAGGCAACAGCAACACACAACCACAATCTTAGTGCCACTGAGAAATACTATAATCACAAACCAAACAGCGGTAAAACTACAACGAGATCCTCCAATAAAGCCCTTTTCTGCTTATAATTTTTTGGGGGGGTTCTGATAGAAATTGCCATTATACTGTCTTTGCTATGTGGCTGTAATAGCTGCAATTATAAAGCAGGCCTTGCACTGGGAGATATATTGTCTTCTCTTTTCCAGTTCTCATCCCTGTGAAACTGCAGCAAGACACAGTAGGAGGATTCTACTGAGCCCTGGAACTTCTTGCAAACAATTTGACCTTCTATGTTGCTTGTAGTCAAGGCTGATTATGGCTATCAACAGTGTTCTTCCTTCCCCACTGCTCTGTCGATAAGACCAAGCCACCTACTGATCACCATGAAACTCTGATTTCAGAAACAGTGTTTGTTTCTGAAAACTTTTCTCCAGAAATTATGAATTAGCAGATTAGAATGCCAGCTGGCAAATAAAGTCAAGGTCAGAAGTTGATTCCCTTTGTTAAATTTTTACACTATGTGATTACAAACTTGCCGCCCCCCCCCCGAAAGCAGCATAATTCATTACTGCATGTGAAAAACAATTCGATTCAAAAGATATTTTCTAATACTCACCCATTCTGCTATGGGGGAAACATCTTTAAATAAATATAACTAATTATCCCATAACTAAGCAAACTCCACCAAAACATCTGAATTTTTCTCAAAGATCCAAGGACTTAAATTTGAAATTCTTCCCTTTAAGAATTATTTGATAATTTGCTATTATCAGGGGAATAAAAAGCTAAAGGCACAAGTAGACTAATCAAATTAAAAGAAACAACTAAGAGAGAATAGCAGCTGGGAGGAAAAAAATCTATTCTGACTCCCAATTCTGCTCATTTGGATGAAAAGTGAGAAATGCAACATTGCGGAGAAGTTAAAATATTTTAATATGATCCATAGCCACTTAACTATACCTTGGGAACTCAGTAAGTAACTAATTCAAAGTATAGTATAAATGAAATCAACAACCTACTTGTATATACACAACTTGAACCTATTCTGAAGCACTTGCTATGCATTCAACTACCACTGTACTTACTGCCTCAATGTTCTCAACCTTAAACCAAGACCAATCTTAAAAATCAAAATAATTCACAGCACCCAGAACAGTACTGAACATAAAAGTAGACATTCAATAAAACAGCTGCTAGATAAATGTACAAAAATCTACCAGTTACTGTTTTCATATCCATTCAAGAGTAACTTGTAAAAGTAATATACTTTCTTAAATATTAATGAAAATAAATATAAAATGTAAATGAACTTTTATGGAAAGCTCATGAGTTCTACAATCTTTGATAAAACATTACCTAAAAGGAAACTTCACTTCAATAAAAAGATCTAAAAAGAAAAAAAAAAAAAGTCCAAATAAAAGACTATAAAGACCTACGGAGATATGTAAGTATTAAAAATTTGTGACTTATATGTGAAATGGCTAAAATATTCTTCATATAAAAACAGTAAGTCTAACCTGGAGGTAACTGATGCTTAGCTCTCTGTGATAACTACAGGGTACTAATCACAGCCAACAGGGTAACTTCTCAGAAATTAGAATATCAAATCATTATGCCACCTACCATTTATTAGAGCCAAAAATTCTAGGCGCTAGAATGGGAACAAAGTAGTCAGCCAAGCATAGAAACATAACAAAACAGGAAACACCGGAAAGAACAGATGGATCTAAACCGTAGATGGTCCTGTTAAAAAAAAAAAATTAATAAAGGTTAAAAAAACATAGCCATTTTTCCTAAGTAACGATGTTTATTCACTTAGTTCTCTAGTTCTCATAGATGTTACTTGCCCTTTTCAATCTAATTTTCTCACAAGTGGTTTTCTGGAAGCTTCATGACATGACAACATCATAGCTGGAATGTAAATAACAAGAGAAAAAAAGCTCTTTGGGGTCTTCAATACTTTTTAGGACTGTAAAGTGTTCTAAGGCCAGCTGATAAGGCCTCTAAGGCCAAATGGTTTAAGAGTCACTGATTTATGTTACTGAGTTCACATAAGTACTACAAATTCTGAAAACCAGGCAAACTTCTCTAAGAAAAGGCATTCTTTACCGATTATATTTTACAAAAGACTTAAGACACTTCCATAAATGGAGGCTGTTATTACTTGAGCCCTTATTAATAAGCACAATGTTAAGTAACTGAATAGCTCACTTACAGAAACACCAAAGAAACCACACCGATGATGGCAGGTGGAAACCAGGGTCTTTCCCATCGGAGGATTTTATCAGCCATCAGCATCACCTCTCCCCATCCTTGCAGCTGCTCTTCCAGACTTGCAGTCTCTGCAGCCTACATATGACCAACATTTAAAACCATTTTACTACTCTCAACATTTCTGTTATTCCTAGAGAGTTAAAATTCTTCTAAGCCACCAAGTACATAAAATAGCTGTTAACCAAATCACTATTTTAAACATTAGTTTCTAAAAACTACATTTTTGGTACCAGTGACATGAATCGATGACAGAAAAAAAACTATTATTTAATGGTCACCTTCCGCAACTAAGAACCAGGACATTCTTTTATGTAAGATAGGGATAATTAAAACCTATTTTACAATTAAAGAGTGGTTAACTAACTTTCCTAAAGTTATATACTATCAAGCACACTACACAGATCACTTTATATTTGCTCACTTCAGGTGGTTGGAATTGATCTGTTGTTTTGTCATATCATTGATTTAAATCCCCACTCCTAAGTCCATTAGGTAAGCCTCTCCTTGAACTGCACTCAATTTCTAAAATAGCTCTTTGTGTAATGGAATCATTTAGATGTTGACATCATTTGCACAAGTAAGAAAAACTACTTTCATCAAATTATATGAGGCATTTTAAGCTCAATATATATCTCCTCTACAGTGCTTCTTACACTTAAAAGGACATTATGATTAGACTTCAAATTTCTCTGAAAAGCTGACAATTTGACTTCCAGGATGAGCTAATGTAGCATAAAGCCCTTCAGCCGACTTTGGTAGAGGGAAAAGAAATTGGAACAAAAAATCCACATGTCCTTATAAATGACGCAGGAAAACATGCAAATAATAGGGAACTACAGTGCTATCCGTGCCACGCTGATCACCCAGGTGACTTCAATATTTCTGACTTTATATATCATACTTAAATAGTTAAATAAAAGATTCCTATGTGAAAGACTATCTAAGTGTTTTATATGCTTATACTTTAATCCTCCCAACAAGATAAAAGGTGTTGTTACTATCCTCATCTTACAAATAAGGAAACTGAGATACACGGAGGTTAAAGATCTGAATAAAGGAAATCCAAACCAAGGGCCTTGTTCTCCTTAAAGTTACACAGCTGTGCTGGAAAGAGTATTTGAGCTCCAGTCCAGGACCTGTCATTTCAATAGCTGTGGGAACTCCAGCAACTTCTTTGTGCTCTTAAAAAGATCCGGGCTGTAGAGAGGGTAGTGGTGGGGGCGGGGGTGTGTGTGGCAGGTCATGCATTTCTAAAAACGAATGCACACACAACAAAACTGCCGTGCAAAGTCCCCGAATTCCTTACACCTGGGTATTGGAAATCGAATATCAAAATCCAAAAGTTAAATTCTTTGCTCCTTCTATTCACGGTGGTTGTGGTGTGTGACCTTGCCTTTTCCTGCAGAAAGGCGATGGAGAAAATGAACGGATTTTTATTGGTTTTTGCCTTGAGCGTGCTGTGAAATTCGTAATGAGGTTAAATTTGTACACCTGTGATACAACCTCATTTCGGTTCCTTAGGACCCCTGCTTATCCTCAAATCGTCCTGTGACTCCTAGACTTACAAAATCCAGGCAAACGCCTGGACCTCCCATTGTCCTTCCAACTGGACCCCACTCCCAGTTCTCTACGTTGAGAACTGGCTGCCTCTGCCGTTTTAAGCTGTGCCAGCTCTTACAGAAATCCTCGGCAATCCCCTTTAATCCTCCACACCTGCCAAGTATGGAGAACGAGAACCGAGGGCACCCCGGTTAAGATCAAAACAGAGAAATCCGGATAGGACTGGGGCCTAGGCCCCAAATGCGCTCGGCAGTCACCTCGCGGTCCCCTGCCCCAGGCTACACCCAAGACTTGTCACAGTCCCCCTTTTCTTACTTCCTCCTCAACCGGTATTCACGATAACTGATCGTGCGCTTCCGTCGCCCTTTTCCCAGGGAATGTTAGGGGTTGGCACGGCTAGAGACATCCAAGCAGAAGCTACCCAAGAAGCCCGAGGGGCAGGGATCGTCGCCGGCGCCTGGAAACCGGGAGAGGAGGGCCGGGGAAGCCGCGGACTACAGACACGAGGCCCCAGCTCCGCCCGGCGGAGCCCTCAGAAGTACAGAGGCCCCGCTCGGTTCTCTCGTGACGCCGCGCCGGCACTCACCAGCAAGTTGGTGCTACGATTATCTCCCTCTGCCATCATCCCCAAGGTGCCGCCTCACTGAGCGTAAGCCAGCCTCCTCAACAGCCCTGCTCGGAGATCAGCACAGTATCTCCAATGCGACGACACACCCAGCAAACCGCTTATATAGGCCGGCCGCCTTTCCCGACAGCCCCCGCGAAGTCCGTTGGTCATTGGGCAGATCAAACCCAAGCTTTAGGGGAGTGGGACCAACCGCTGCCCTGCGCAGGGCTTGAAATCGAGGTCAAAGGAGAGAGAGGCGGCTCTGGGCTGAGGGGGCGGAGACAGAAAATGACCAATCAGTGGCCAGGAGATGTGCACGGCCCTGCTCAGGCCTTTCGAAAGCGGTTGAACAGCCGCAGCTCCGCGTTTGGCCGGGCTTTAGTATCCCCAGCATTGGACGCCAGGTTATCTCTGTGATCTTCTGCTGAATCTCAAAGCAGCTAAGGAGACTCTGAAATTTAGTTCTCGAAGAACTAAGCCACGCAGTATCAGACAGAGACGGGCATGTTTCCCTAACCTTGCTGTTGCCCTAGGTGGCCCTACCTTCTAATCCCTGCTGTGGCGCCCGGGTCAGCCCAGATTTGTGACTGCCACTGGTGCCCACCTCCTTACATTTTGAGCTATTTGTGTGAATTTTCTGCATTTTTTCTCTTCCTACCCATTAGGAAAAGGCCTTAGCTCGATTGCGGGGGGCGGGGGGGGGATAAGGGTCCGGGCTTAGTTTGAGAGCTCGTGAAAAATGCACCGATTTATAAAACTGGCTTATATGAGGGTCTTTCTAGGGCACTTGAGTTAGGAAGCTAGGAGCTTCCCCTCCAGAAGTGCTGGTTTGGACATTAGGGATCATGCTGAAGAAAGATGTAAACCCTTTTATGAGCTGTGGAATTACAAGCAATTTAGAATCTAGATGAACCGTATTGAGGCATTTCTATGTCTTTTTCTCTCCGGTATTAACAAGTGCTTTGCTTTTCATTATTCAAAACAAAATCATGCCAGATGTTCACCTGGTCAGATGTCTGTTCTACGAAAACTTACCAAGCTTTTAACTTACAGCTTTTTATCCTTTTATACTCATCTATATTACACCACTGGATTTAAATGTTTTAAAATCATTCCTTAGAGAACTACCAGCTTCTTAAGAGTTCAAAGAAGGCATAAAGAAGTGTGAGTGAGTATAGCTACAGAACACAGAAAGCCAGGGGTGCAGGAGCATTATGTCAAGAAAGGGTAGTGTTGAGAGACCTGGTTCTTCTTGCCCATTCATGTAAAGAATTACAGATCAGCACATCTATTAGCCTGCAATTAGGGTTTATTGGTGATCGGTTCCCATGGAAGAGAACGGACCTAGGTAAGGTGGGAGACAGGGTGAAGGCAGTAGGTTCAGGCACAACAGGGCAGTGGAAGTTAAGGGCAGCCGGCTGGGGTGGCAAGCCCCCAAAGGGGCCTGAGGCCAGGCAGCCAGAGAGCCAAGAGTCGTTTGTTCTGAGGACTCACATAGTTGGCACGATGAACGTAAAAAAGTTACATATTAATTGACAGGTTAATGTGGTGTCAGCTTCCCCAGGGAGGGGAGGGTAAATGTGGTGTCATCTTTCAGGGGGAGGGAAGGGACCTGACTACCCAAATTTAGGTATACGTGTGGGGCTCTGTTAGCCCAATCTTTCTTACTTCAGTCTCCATTTGTTCATCCTGTGAAACAGATAACGTGACAGGAGGCAGTTAAAGTTGGGGTAGTTACCCAAAGGTTTTTATGGGCTCTTTAAGCACGAGGGACTCCCCTGTAAAACAGATAGTGACCAGAGGCAGGCAATTTACCAAAGTTGTCTTATGGGCTTCTTTGGGCACCGCAGACCTTCTTCTCTGCTTTCAGGCCTTGGGATGAATACAGTTTCAAAGGCTATCCTTCCCAGATGGTGGAAACAATACAGAGAATTTCAAGGACTTCCCTCCTTGTGTGCTAACATGTTTGTTGTGATGGTGGAACACCTCGAATACTACCAGACCAGGCTCAGTACTGTTAGTGGGTGAGACAGGACTCCCTCCTCCTCCCTGTCTTGGTTTACTATTCATTTTACCTAAATGCCAAAAGGCATCCCTGGCAACCAGGATGATAGATGCTGGCCAGTAACAGCAGCACAGTCTGAGTTCTTCCTTGCCTCAGAAGGATCTTCGAAAAATAAAACACCTGGATCACATATAAACACTTAATGGGGGGGTGCTTTGCAAGGGAAAGGGACCCTTCAATGAAGTCCTCCCGTTGGGAACTATTGGGTGGAAAATAGGTTATGCAGGTAAGATGCAGCAAGCTGATCTAGAGACCCCATTCTGGGAGACATGAAAGCTATGAAGTTTGAGGGCCAGGTCCTTCTCTACCTCTTCAAAACAAAAAGGTCCCAAATAATCAACAGCTACGGAATTAGTGAATATACTGAGCACTGAGCGCAACATTTTGCTATTGGCATAGTAATACCATCCACTTTCAAATAAGAGGCCAGAGTTATTATTAGGCTTCAAAAAATGGCCCTTCTAAAAACAAACAAAAAAACCTCTGACATTTCTACTTTGGGAAGTACTTCTAGTTTTCACCCAAGTTCCCCTATGTACAATTTAAGAAGGAAGACTTTTGAACACCAACTTGTGAAATTGAGGTAGGTGAAAAAAATGGAAGCAGCTCAAGCAGCAGGTTCTCCAGACTACTTTTGTTTAAGAAAGGTGTTCCCAGAGCTTCTTCAACTTCACAGCCCAAGAGCACTGCTACAAGGTTTCTATGATACTTTACAACTAGCCTAGTTTAAAAAAAAGAAAAAGAAAACCTATCCTTAGTGTAGCTTTGAGCTTTATTTTTGTGCTACAAAAACAGGATGTTTCCTAACATGCCAGGAGACAGCAACAAATGCAATCTGACTTTCACACAGTAAAGCAAACTGGGTATTTTAATTTTTCTTCAGGCTTTATACCCCTGGAAAAGTACATGTGAATAATGTTCTACAGTTTTAAATACAAAATTAAGCCTAATTTTATGTTAACTCTCACTGAAGTAAAATTCTACTGCTGTCCAAAAATACTTTAGAACTTTGAAGGTAGAAAAAATTATTTTAAACATTTTTGGAGGTATTGATGCTTTAAAAAAGCTATATTGCAAAATTACATTATCTGGCAACTACTTTGACCAATAAATTCAGAGCTTATATGCTATGTCTTTTAAGACTTTATTTTTTTTTGAAAAACAGGTATTTCATACAATCTTTGCCATGTTAATGCAAATATGCACAAAGTAGGCATGTATTTTTGTTTTCCAAACAATGCATTTATGAACATTTTCAGGAAGCTGGTGTGATTTATTCAACTTTTAATCTTAAATACAATCACAAAATTATATCCATCAGAAGGCATTACAACCTTTTGTACAGAGAAGCCACTTTAATTTATACAATGTTTACTAGGACAAGGAAGATTCAATTCAACTCAATTTGCTCTTATAATAAGGGTAAAGTAAATTAACAAATGAAGTATGATGTGGCCACTGACATTACAGGTGGAAATAAGAGAAATTTAAAACAAAAGTAACTGACACAAGAACTTAAATAGGAGCTGAAAGTGGGACTGTCAAGAAAAATTATCAGCCTGTTTTGAAAGAAAAAAAACATTCTACAAGTCTGCATTTCAGAACATGCAATTCCTTAAGTTTACCATCTTCAAAACTTAAGCTAATTGTATGACATTTTTACATTAGCACAACCAACACCTTTTCCCTAATAAACCCAGTCAAATCCCGTAAAAAGCAAAAGACTCTAAGCAGTTCACGTTGTACAACTTAACCCTTGGACCTATAAAGCTGCTCTAAGAGCCCACTTGCCCATTTGTAAAGAAGGGATAGCGATATTGTTACCCGGGCCTAAAAAGTAGGAAAAGTGCATAAACCCTTAGGGGAGATAATACAGTGAATGTCCCCTTCCCCAGTGTTTGGAAAATTTTGTAATGCTAGTTTTTCCCCATAGGAGAAATCTTTCTAATATAACCCAAATACTTGAAACAGCTACATTCTTCAAGTGACCCTTACAGTAGTATCTTCTACCTCCTTGATTTGGGGTGGGAGGGGACTTCTAGCTTTAAATTTCTGGCATTTTACAAGCTCAAAAAGAGAACTGAAGGTGACTGTTTTCATATTTATCTAATTTTATGTAAAACAAAGGTATTTAATGTGCTAATAGTAAAGCATTCACTGATTTTTGATGTAGATGAATAAGGACCAACAGGCTAACTGTAGGTGTTTTCTTTAATTTGAAAGGAATTGGAAGAAAAGAAGAACCAGCTCCTTACTGCCAAAACAAGCCCAGAATAATTACAAACATGTGGAGGAAAATAGGCCAGGAAGACTTTTCAGTTTAAAGTACTGCCTATAATACCCCAGACTTAAAAGAACCTAAGATTGCACATCAACTCTAATATTTGGCTGTACTTGCATTGCCCTGCGTGGTATTTTTTTTTAATGGCTCTTTCCTTAAATTTCACACATCAGAACAACCACAAAACAATGCAAAAAAAAAAGGGACAATATTTTAAAACTACACACTAAGCTTAGTTAATAGAGGCAAGTATTAAGGGCGGAAATGATGGAAGTTTTTCTTTAACCCTTACCCTGAACCTGGGGTTTGGGCTCTTAAAAAACAATTTAGGGAAGCAGATCAAGAGCTTGATTACCAGTTCTCAAAGAAATCTTACATATCTCAAAAACAACTCACCACAAGTGTCAGACACAAAAGAATCTGAATAACCATCTAGCAAACTATAAGAACTCATGACCAGAAGTAAAGAATGTTAAGACATACCAAAGAAATACAGACAGCGCCATAAACCATGAAGCTCCACAGCCCTGCAGAGAAATCAACTAATATTCAGGCATTTCTAGAAAATTAAAGGCAATAAAACACTTAAGATAAACTTCAATTTCCAAGGGTACGCTGAATTAGAGGTTGCATTATCCTGTACCCTCTGAATCTTAGAGAAAGAGCGAAGAGAGCCAACCCCTGGCTTTCCACAGGTGTTTTGTATCATTAAAAATGTCTGACTTCAGAGGCCCTGGCTCTGCAACTCGGTTGGTTGGAGCAC